GAGGAGGAGGTGGCGGCTTCGGTTTTCCCGCGCTTGAGCGCCCGGCCCTCGGAAGGAGGACGCTTTTCTCTTGACGGACAAGCCTCCCGGCCCGTGAGGGCAAAGTTTTGCCGGCGAGCCCCGCCCACCAGCGCTCGGCAGGTGGCGGCTTATCGGGGAGACTCGCCCTTCCGCGCGGGAGGGCCGGTGGGCTGGGTCGAGGGCCCCTTCCCCCCCCCAAAGACGGTGTGGGCGAGGGACCCTCAGAAGTAACACCTTTGAGGAAGAATACCAAGCTTCGCAAATGGGGCGACCCCATGTGCAAAGTCCGTTTCTCTAGGATTGGTTTACAGTTTTTGTCTTGAGGGGGGGGGAAAGGTTTTTGTTTTTTTTTTTTTTAAAAAAAAACAAAGATCTCTACCTTCCTCTGAGGAAGAACTTAAATCCATAAAGTCTCAGAAGTCCTTCATTAAGGTCTTCATGTTATGTAGTTTGAATACCACGTTGTACACACCATTGTCAAAGTACATATTCCGCAGTCCACTTTTTAAAAATTATTCTTGGGGGGGGGAACAAAACCTACATCTCTGCTTCCTCATTTGTTAAGTCTGGGCTTTTGGTATTTAAATAAGCCCCAGACTGCCTGGGAGGAAAGGCTTTCAAGCCCTGCTGGGATCAGACACTAAATTCCCAAATACTGTACAGGATTTTTGTCTCCTTGTATGTTTGCAAATTGTGGTTATTTGATGGGGAAGGAAGGCACTCCTTCCTCTGAGGTGGGTGTTTGAAGCCTGATTATTCCCTTAGGCTTAAAGACAGATTTCTAAGCCATGCTTCATTCTGGCTCAGATTGAGTTATTTTTCTTCCAATGGGAGCTCCTCAAAGATTTCACTGTAAGATCTTGGACTTCAAATGAAAACTTATTTATAGATTTTTAGAAAATCTTGTAATGCCTATGATGCAATGCTATACCTTTCATCTGGTGCATAGAATTGTACCTGAAATCATGATATTCGAAATATTGCAGGATAGGAATATGCCATTTACTTCCCTATCCTGCCTTTCATATTTGTCGGCATGTATTTGGTTTGCTGTTTCTTTTTCTGGACCTCATATAACAGCTATGATATTTGCAAGGGCTTTGCAAAAAAGTGCTTTGCCTCCATATGTTTTGCACTATGAAAAGCCCACCTCTCCAATTTGTATTTGTGAACAATTTTAACCAGCCTATTTCCATCAAGCTAAAGGCCATTGTTTGCCCAAACTAGAGTAGAATTACTGAGTCATTTGAGTTTATGTAAGTACTGATTTAAAGTTACATTTACTCTGTGGATCTGATTTACCTGGAATTAACCATCAGGTTTAAACAACTGAGTGCATTGTAACTTCCTGGTGGTTGAGTATGTGTTGGATTGCAGTTCTCTGCATCATGTTAGGGGACCTTATCATGCATTGCTGGACAGAGTAGTAAAATAATAAGTAATCATAATCAACAGTTGTACTTTGTATGTTTATGTTGAAGTATACTTGGACCCTTTTAGAATATGCATATTAAGGCTTCAGCTGTAGAACATCATGTACATCCTTAATATTGTTGATCAGCTTTTAAACTCACAAATCACTTATAGTTAGCAACCATAAGCCACCTACAGTGAGATCCAGTTTACCAAGCTTTGTTAATGCAATAGCACAAACCTAGTTCTTTAAATTTGATATTTTAAATTTGGCTTTTGGCATGCTGTTATTAAATGCCAAATCTTTGGGGGAGGTTTTTTCAGCCTTGTGCCAGTGCTGTCACAAAAAAGAAAAGGCTAGTAATTCACGGTAGGAGGAAAGCAGGGCTAAAAGGAAAAAAAGCAAGGTTGCTATAGACTGGAATAGGTTTGTGAATTGGTCCTAAACGTGAGGATAGGCAAGCATAAGAAACACGGGGAATGAGTATAACAGAAAATGTAGTTTTATTTTTAATTTCACCATACTACCACTTTTATTCTAAAATTAACTGGAATGCTGTTTTAAGTTTTGGAAAATCATTGGTATGTTTGCAGTAGTGTTTCCTGTGCAATGAGGGCATCAGTCAGATTTCAGCGCATGACTTTGAACATTAATATTGGCATGCAAATAACATAGTGTGGGGTGGTGAAAGTGCCCAATGACTGAGAAAAATACAGCTGGAATATTTTGCAGGCTAGTGTCTGTGTGGCACAAAATACAATGGAAAGTCTGGTCTTTGTGGTAATGGAGTTGTAACTCTTGATAGCTGGACTTCTAGAAGTCATCCTGTTACACTAACTCATTGCACCGCCATTGTCCATTTTGCAGGGCAACCTTTTGGGTGAGGAGAAAGCCAAAGCATTCCGGAATACAAAGCTGATCCCTATGGAAACCTCTTCATCCTCTGATGACAGCTGTGACAGTTTTGGCTCTGATAATTTTGCAAACACGGTAAGTAAAAAGTGCAAGAATAAACAGAATTGAATGTGTGGTGCTGAAAAATGCCCTGTGCTCGATTAAAATGCTTTGCTTACATTTCTATACAGCAGTTAAGAATATACAGTATGTACTGTAATTTCATTTCCCTTTTTTCCTTCTGCTTCTAGGTAGTAATTGTTGGAGGTAGATTAGCCACTTATTCTATCCTTTTGAAATGTCGCCTAACCTAACATGCCTGATGATTTGCGGTAACAGCTCTGAAACCATTTGTAAACCCCCTGAACCATTTTTCTTTGTTACAAAAGCTATTCTCTTGTAGTACACTTGTAAAATGTGATTTGCTCTGTGAACAGTTTATGGAAAATAGGTTCTGTTAAAAAAAAATAAAAGAAAGAAAGGGGGGGAGAAAAGAGAAACACCCAATGTACTTTATTCTTTTAAAGAAGCCCAGATTCAAGCCAGAAGTTGCAGAAGAAGTAGTCAAGATTTTTTATGAAGATTCGGATGATGAATCATTCTGCGGTTTTTCAGAAAGTGAAATTCAGGAAGTGTTGGTGAGTTGTACAGTTTAACTTGCTAATTGTTGACGCACTGAATGTGGTTTTTGTACTACCAAACAGTCCTGACCCTTTGGCTTCGCAGTTCCTTAGTCTGGAACTCTGTTTGGTCAAGAGCCAGCAAAAGAGTCCTCACCCAGTGATCTACTGCCAGGCACAGTTTATGTCTCATTTGTGATTATGAGACGTTGTACATTGTCTTCTTTAGAGATGGGCATGAACCGCCAGTTTGGTGATTTGTGCCTGTTTGTTTATTGGCTGAACAGGTGTTCAAAGCTCCGCCTCCTCCCGTGGGCACGCACTCAGAGGAAGCACTCCGGCTTTTCTCTCTTGCCTCCACTGGTTTGTGCCCATTTCTTGTTGTCTTCTATGCATTAACAAAGCAGGTATTAGAAGAAAATTGTGTTCAAAATTATTTTGACAGTGAGTAGGCCTGTTTCACAAGGGAGCTTTTAAATTCAGTACAGGACCCTCTTTATTTCCCTCTTACTGTGAACTTTATACCAGCCTGAGGTAGTGACAGAAGAATAATATTGGAAATGATTTCACATATGATATGAAGGGATTTCATGCATACAGTGGTGACTCGCTTGACGAGGATAATCCGTTCCAGTGAAATCGCTGTGGAGTGAAATCCTCATCAAGTGAAATAAAAAACCCATTGAAACGCATTGAAAACTGTTCAGTGTGGTCCAATGGGCGAAATACCTGCTCGTCCAGCGAAGATCCTCCGTAGGGCGGCCATTTTCGGGTGCCGGTGCAGGGAAAAATGTCTCCTAAAAACAGCGGGGAGCCATTTTGAGCAGCTGGTGGCCATTTTGAAAACCCGATGATCAGCTGATTGTTGTAATGCGAAGAATCGGTTCCTGAAGTAGAGAACTGGTCATCGGGAAGCGAAAAAAGCCCATTAAAACATCGTTTTGCAATCGCAATTGCGATCGCAAAAACATCGTGAAGCGGATTCGTCAAGTGGGGTAATCGTTAAGCGGGGCATGACTGTACTATTTAAAGGATACTGGGGATTGTAGCCATTGGTGTTATGGGTTATTTAAGTAACTTTAAAGTTGTGTAAATGATCCTCCGAATAAAAATAGAGTGGAACAAGGTTGTGTAAGTAGCCATTGAGTGTTCCTAGGCAACTTTATTTCTGCCCCACTGAGATTCTGTGGTCAGAATCATAGATGTTGAAAAAACTTGAAATTCCAGAGCCGGATAGGTGCATGTTGCTGATGCTTTCGTGGTGAAAGCACATGGCAAGTAATCCTTCTAGCTGTGTCTTTGGCATAGTAGGTATCCTTTATGTCATTGCCTCCTTCCTCCTGATTTTTTTCCCTCCTTCAGTTCTTTTTGGCTCTGCTTCTCAGTTTGCCTCCCTATTTTTTCCTCCTCCTCAAGAGAGTAACTCGCAGACACAGGACATGCTCAACTGCTTCTGCAGGTGTTTCCTTGAAGTCTTTCTGAGATGCGGCAAACACTGAACTCTCAGAATGAGGCTGGCAATTTATAGAAAGCACCCACCCAAAGCAAAGAGACACACTTGTTCTGTTCTTACCAGTTTAATATCTAATACATTCTCTATTTGAGGACTACGTTTCAGAAGTTGTGTCAAGATCGAAAGTGATACAGCACTTTAAGAATTACTAGGCATAATTCATATTGAGTTAGTCTGCATGGGTTTTTCTTTGGTTTCCAGTTTATAGAAAGCAGAACAGGAAGAAGCTTTCAGAGACCTTGTGACCATTATTTATTTGGTGTGAAACACCTAGAATCAATATGGTCATTCTGAGCGTTGTATTTTTTTGAGGGGGGGGGGAGTAACTTTTCCAACCTCAGTTTCTTCTTCATGCATACACTGCCATGTTAAGCAGGAGGCTAATGATTCAAGAGAATTATTCTGTTAGATATAATTAAGATATTTTGGTGATGGGCAGGTGGTGATACTTCCATTGGGACCTGTCTAAAATTAATTTCTTCCTTGACTTTTCTGAGGCGGATATTACAGTTAGTGTGTATGTATGAGAAACAAGCCATTTTAAGGGGAGGAATAAAACACTGCCATGTTAAGCAGGAGGCTAATGATTCAAGAGAATTATTCTGTTAGATATAATTAAGATATTTTGGTGATGGGCAGGTGGTGATACTTCCATTGGGACCTGTCTAAAATTAATTTCTTCCTTGACTTTGCTGAGGCGGATATTACAGTTAGTGTGTATGTATGAGAAACAAGCCCTTTTGAGGGGAGGAATAAAAAGCCTCCCCTTTGCACCATTCAAAATGCTTTTTTATGCAACTGTGATGGTGGTGGGGTCCCAGATTACTTGTCTATTATAAAAGGGGGCCGTGACTCAAAAAAAAGTTATGAACCACTTGTTTAAGGAAAGCAAAGCAAACTTGTCTATTATAAAAGGGGGCCGTGACTAAAAAAAAAAAACTTATGAACCACTTGTTAAGGAAAGCAAAGCAAAGTGTTACTTATATACCGCCCCATAGTGCTTCAAGCACTCTTTGAGTGGTTTACAAGTTAATTATGCAGGCTACACATTGCCCTCCCCCCCGCAAGCTGGGTACTCATTTTACCGACCTCGGAAGGATAGAGGGCTGAGTGAACCTTGAGCCGGCTACCTGGGATTGAACCCCAGGTCGTGAGCACAGTTTCGGCTGCAGGACATCGGTTTAACCACTGCGCCACAAGGCTCCTTTCAGCAGTTTAATCCTTGGTGGTCATTCATATCCACTGAAATAGACTCTAGGACGGGGGGGGGGGAGGGGGAGGGAGGGGTGGGTTTTTCTACTCTAGCAGCAACTTCCTGTGAGCTTCACAGCACCATTTTTTTTTTAATAGAAACTGGAAACAGACTCTGAGGAAAATGGTATGAGTGATGAAGATGAATGTCTGCGTCAGAGGCCACAGAAATGTTCTGTTCCTCTCAAAGTTGCCATGAAATTTCGGCCTCGAAGGTCTGAGAGGGGTAATAGCAAAATAGCTGCGGCACCAAAACCCTCTTGTGAGCCAGAATTGGATTCAGATTCTGATGAAGAAAGAGGCCCCAAATTCTTAGAGAAAAGAGCTTTAAATATAAAAGAGAACAAAGCCATGGTAAGTAGAAAAGAATGTTCTCAAGCATATTGTGTTGCTTTTTTTTCCCTGTCCACATTCTGAAGTAATTATTGTTTAAGATAGATTTGAGTTCTGTTATGTCGATACAAAAACAAATAATTACTCTTACTTAATGCCTCCATATGGTACTCTATATTCCACTCAGCTTCATTCAGAATATTATAATCCTACTTGCATTCGGCTTGTTTACTAAATTAAAATGCATTACAGAAGAGCCAAAAGTATGATCAAATAGTTGTATCTTTTCAATCAAGGGCTTCAATGTTGCTCAGCTTTCCAGTTTTTAAAGGGCCTCTTTGAGTCACTTTTTCTATGCTTTCTGAATCCCTGGCCTCAGCTAGGAACTGGTTTCAGATGGTGAGAGATTCAGTGAAGACAGCCCTGCTCCTCTTGTGCTCTTTCTTACGCAGATCTTTGGACTGTAGTGAATTGTCATCTATTAGCTCAGGAGAATGATGTCATTGTGTTTGTAAAGTATTGATGGCTTGCATTTCTGAATACCCCATCAGCATTCTACATTGTATGTGAAGAACAGTCTTAAGTGAGATTCTGTTAATTCTTTTTCTGTTTCCCTCCTGCAGCTTGCAAAACTAATGGCCGAATTAAAAAATGTCCCTGGAATTTTTACTAGCAAAGGCCCATTGGGAACACCTACTCTGGTGAGTAACATTTTTCAGTTGTTGAAGGCCCAATATAGATTAACCTGATAGGCTAAATAAACTAGCAGCCAGTTCTTGAGTATGTTGCTACATGATAAAAAAAAAACTGGCTGTGGTTGCCTTTTGATTTGTAATTATCTAAAACATTTAGTGTTCAGTTAAAAGAACCTGGATATCTTCAGATCTAAAACAAATAAAGCAAAGTCCTGTTGAGTTGTATTTTACATAGTAACAATGAGGCTAAGCTTCAAAGTTCAAGCTCAGATCTCTTAACTATTGAACAAAGAAAGTATTATTGTTTGACTAGGAGGAAAGCATAACAGTCTATTTGACGAGAACACTGGGCAGTTGAAAAGGCTAGAATTATCTTTTTTTCTGTGCTTCTAGGAAGTGTGAAGAAAATATTAAGTCTGAAAAGATGAGGCTGTTTGTAGTTTTTTAAGTTTTCCTCACTTTGGGGGATTTTTCTTCACACTGTCTCTTAATTCATCTTGATAGATCAAATGCCATCAAACACTACGATCTTACTGAAATTTGTCTAGGTCTGAATTTCTTCAGTCTTCATGAACTAACCTCTGTTCACACAGTGTGCCAAGCCATGGCTCTAATGCTTAAACCTTGGTTTAGTGTGATGCGTAAATCACAGTTGCTTTGCTCCAGAGACCATAGAAAAAGGGGTGCTGAGAAAACGAAAGCAGCAAACAGGGGGGATTTCCTTTGAAGTGAACTAGAATAGAAGGGAGGAAACTGTATAAACAACTGTAAATCTCAGCCGTAATTCTGTGTGATGCACATAAGTTGTCCTTGTTCTCACTCTAGAAACCACAGAGGTCTCCAAGGAGATCATTTCCCAGGCAAGCTTCAAGAAGGAGGAATCCAGAAAGGCTTTCTAGACCTCACACAAGATCCAGGTCCCTGATTGAAGGTCCTCCCAGCCCTGTAGTGGAAGAAGACGAGGAGGACCCTTATGTCTTAGTCAGGAGGAAAATGTCTGATGCCTACTCTGAGGTTTGTGCGGGTGATTCTGCTGTCACTTTGCTAATTAGTCAGAACCTCTTAAAATACAAACTTAGGCCAGATGATTTAAAGATGATCTGCTTGCATAAAAATAGTAACCAAGGCAGACCAGAGTGGGCTTATTGTCTCTTTTGTTCATGTGCCTAAATTCTGCAGGGATAGAAATTCCAGAAGTATGTTTTAGGGAGGTGTCCCCAGAGTTTTAAAATGGTAGAGACAATTTCTGGCATAACATCCATACCGCATCAGGCCAAAGCCTTCTTTTTAAACACAGTGAAGATCCCTCAAGAAGAAACCCGTAAGCAGGAAACAAGAGCAGGGAACCCTTCCCTGTTGTCTTTCCATGTGACTGATATATACAGGAGTTGATTCACATCCACAAGGACTTGTAGCCCTTGGTAGTTTTATCCACCCTAATTCTCCAGGAACTGGGCAGTGAGAACAATCCCTGGATGTGTGTTTTTGTGTGCCCCCCATGAAGGGTATTTTGTTGCAGCCCAGATGAAATCGTTGACAAGTGACTTCCACTATTAGGGCAGCCTATTGAGATTAAGTTGGGAAAGTAAACCCACCGCAGTTGCAGCATGTAGAGGAGAGTGCATGGGTGTCCCTTTAATTTGCTCTGTGTAGACACAGGCAAGTGAAGGACATGGATTTTAAGAAGACCCATCTCCATCTAGGGTTTATTTTACTGCTTTGACTTCAGGATGAAATGGATGCCCCCAGAAGAAAGCGCTGGAGTGCCATGACTCTTCCCCATGTCGTTCGTCCAGTGGAAGCAGTAACCCAGGAAGACCTGGATAATATCTGCCAAACCGCCAGAGACAAAGTGTATAACCGTGTGACGGTAAGGATAGGTCGTGCCATGCCTGTAGCGTGCCTGCTTGCTTTTTCCAGATCATTGTCCTTAGTCCTTTCCTATATGTGATGCTGTCTGGAGTTAAGACTCTCCAGGGGTCTGCTGTTCACACTTGGTTCTTCCTGAGAGACATTGCTGTACTTTGTCCTGCCTGTCCACGATCCTAAGGACCTCTTCAGAATTGCTAGAGCTGGAGCTGAGAACATCATTGGTAGCAGCCATTTTCAACGGGGGCCGTGTAGCCCTTGCAGGAGGGGGCCGGCCACATTGGAATCGGGCCACAGACTGGAAAGGATTCTTTATACACCACCTTAGAAGGTTCATTATGTGACTTGTATAATCCTGATTCAGCCTATATTTCTATCGTATTGCTTTTGGTTGTGGCCAAAAAAAAAAAAAAAAGTTGAGAAAAGGGCTGCTCTCTGCTTAGAAGCTGTGCCATTCCTTAATTCCCTTGTGGTAGAACAGTAGCAGGCTGACCACTGGCTCTCCACTATGAGGGGTGATGGAGCAGCACTTAACTTTTTATAACCATCATCATCTTAGAATTGCAGAACGGGAAGGGGCCCAATGAATCATTGAGTCCAGCCCCTGTCAAGGATACACCAGTGGGGGAATCAAGCTCCCAACTGCTGGCTCTGCAGCCGGAGACCTAAACCATTTTTGTTACCAGTACTTGCCTAAAAGTTGGGGCAAGTGCTGACTTGGACAGTCTTGTTCTGCCTTATGTTGATATCGCTATAACCTTTTATTAGCCTGAGTCCTCTTACTGGCTTAGCAGAAATGGTGTAATATTTGGCGGCAAATTGCTCTAATTTAAGAAATCACCCTTGACTTCATCAGTGGCATCCTGAGGTGTATGGTTTTTCATGCAACTGTTAACGTTCCTGTTGATTTCTTAATTTTAGTGGTTTGCCTCTGCACATTTGCATTGCTCCTACACAAGTGGTTTTTGACAACTGGGTCAGTTTGTCAGGTGTTTTGTTGGTTCTCCCCTCCACCTTCTCCCTTGACTGGCAAGTTTTTAAACTCTTGCAGGATCTCTCAATGCATAGCACCTTTGAACTCCTCACATGCTCCAAATCCACTCCCCACTTCTAATTCAGCAAGAACTCCATTTCTATTTTTTCTGGGTAATGTAAATTAGCAGCATCCTATGGTTTGCCAGCATTAAACTCCCTGTCTGGAGCATAGAAATGCAGGGCTCATTCACCCGCTTCTACACCCACCCACCCCCTTTTGATGGCATGCCTGAATGAATTGTTCATCATGAGAGAAAGCAGATTTGGAGCATGTGAGTAGAAAGAGTGCATGAACCCAGGAATTGTTCATGCAGTTAGGTCCAGACTGGCCTACAATATATTGTAGCTTCCTTATTTTCAAATGGCCCTGGGCAGGGCTATCTGCTTTTTGAAGTCATTTGTACTGATCAGGGAGTCTGCAAAACAGAAGCAGCATTCTTACATCCAGTGCAAAATTTAAAAACACATCTTTCCCTTTCTTTTTATTGTATTGTTTTGTAGTGTCTAGTTTATAAAAATAAATGAAAACCAGAAGCAGCATGGCAGAGGGTGTGATGATTGTTGTGTATGCAGCAGTCTTTCAAAAGCAACCAACAACCTTCTCTCCCCACCTCACATCCTTTTGACTGCTGTTTTTTTTTCAGGGTTCTACTTGCCATCAGTGTCGCCAGAAAACTACAGACACCAAGACCAGCTGTCGTAACCCAGAATGTTTAGGCGTACGTGGTCAGTTCTGTGGCCCTTGCCTTCGCAACCGCTATGGAGAAGAAGTCAGGGTTGCTTTGCTGGATCCGGTAAGAGCATTCGATTTGGAAGTTGTTCTGACTCTTTTAAGGATTATAAGAAAGAAGGACATGAATAGATAGGATAGGCAGTCCCATTTTAGAAGTAATAAGTGGGCGTTTTTAGGGAAACTTACAGTCTAGGCAGGACTCTTTATTAGCAACAAGAGAGAGATAGAGAGCCATCCTGAAGATGCTTTAGAGCTTCCATTTCTAAACACAAATCCATGTCATTTTTGCCTTAGGACTGGCATTGCCCTCCTTGCCGTGGAATCTGCAATTGCAGCTTCTGCAGGCAGAGAGAAGGACGATGTGCTACGGGGGTGCTGGTTTACCTGGCCAAGTACCATGGCTATGACAACGTCCATGCTTACTTGAAAAGGTAAGTTCTGTGCAATTTTTTTTCCCTACACATGCTGGGTGAGCTACAATCTTCACAACATGTTATCCTGGCTATAAACATCAGTCTTTCCTACTGTAGCTTTCATGGAATGCATGAATGTGTTTGAAAGGGGGCGGTGTACAGGTTATTGTGCAGGGCACATCGTTTGCATCTAAGGAGATGCAGGTAAAGGTCCGTGGATGCAAGAGCCAGCAGGATAGGTTTTCCATGTATAGAACTAGTGTTACATTGTTGATGATGTTATTCTCGGTTTATAAATAATTTTTACTATTATTTTTCTCCTTTAAAAAAATAAACTTCACAGTCTGAAACAAGAACTTGAGATGCAAGAATGAAGTTCCGGCGGTATTTGGGGCTCATCAACTATGTTGCCATCAAGGTTGACTGTTCATCTGATTTGAAGTTATTTTTCTACTCTTCTGAGCATTTCTTGAAGATGCTGAGCCAAAAAACAAACCCAACGCGCACACATAAACCTCAAAGCAAGACCCATTGTGTCATTTGATTGGATGAGAGTTGCAAGACTGTCGGAAGTGTTCTATGTCTTCTGTGCTGGAGCTGTATTAGTTGTTAACGTACATTATTGCTAGTCACTTGTTCATACATTTGGATGGTAGTGCCTTGAGACATAGGCAGTAAAGAAATATTTGCCACATGGCTCTCCTGAGTCTCACTGGGACAAGACATTGTCGTTTTAGCGACATCCAGAAAGGAGACTTGCCATGTAACTTTGGAGATCTATGGAATCACAGTCCTTTTTAAAGTTAAAACAACCGTTGTATTTGAATGTTACTCTTTAGAGTTCATTTGCATACAAAAGGCAACCAGGGTAGTATTTGCTGACTTCTGGCTGGCGGTGCCCAAGAACCTCTAGTGCACTGGTTCCTAACCTTGGGTCCACAGATGATCTTTAACGAAAACTCCCAGAATCCTTTGCCACAGTCTGCGCTGGCCAGGATTTTTGGGAGTGTTACTCATTACTTGCCAGCTAAAGGTGACTGAAGGTTAGGCCCATTTGCCTTTCGCATGTGTCTTTAAGCAACCTGATTTCAGCCAGTATATGAAAGGAACAATATACAAAGCTTCTGAGGTTGGCTCATAGAATTATTAAGCACCAAAAGCCTCAACACAAGAGCCTTCATCTTCTGATAGGGCATAACAGTTGAAATATTGTTGCAGGGAGTAAGTATAGTTGTAACATTCAATGCGCTGTGTGCATGTTCCCAAGAATTATAGCAGGGGCTCTTCCTTTGACGGTTAGGAACGGGCTGAGTGCCACTGCTCTTAATGCTAAAGCAGCAACAGGATGCTGGCCATTGCCTAGTATGGAACACAAGGTGCATGACTCTTATATGTGCAGTCTGCCTCCTCCAGAATTGAGGTAGAGGAATTTTGGAGCATGTGCCATGCAGGAATCTTCTATTACGTTTTTCATTACATGAAAAATAGGGAGGTGCTCACAAGCCAGAGATTGGTTTTCATGCAGTTCCCTTCAGATTTTCAGGTACAGGAGAGATTGGCCAAGAAGCTCCTGCCCCACCAATCAGACATCTTAGTGTTTCAGAATACATTGCTAAGAGAACATGGGGCTTGCATTGCAGGCATCTGTCATAGGTTGGGTCTGTGGCATTCCATCAGTGCCATTTGCCTTTGAGAAAGATGCTGGCTGACACATTTGCTTAACATTAAAAGTGCTGCATAGAATAAGGAGCGAGAAATACTCAGAGCAGTGGAAAGAACAGTGCTGTGACATTTACAGCAATAGCCACGAAGCCCACTTTTACGTTGAATGTTGGACAAGGAAAGAAGTGAATGCTGAATTTTTTTTGTTCAGATGATGCCTTTTCACTCATTTTCTGCTTAGCATGGGATACTGTGTATAGTAAAATGCACATGAGCTAGAAATCTTACTAATAGGATGGAGGTTGATTTCAAATGGTACTGTACATTTTGGGGGATCAGGGAGGAATAAACCTTTGTTCTTTCGCTTTGCCTCTTTGAGGGATGATGGGCAGCATTTGTAGCCTTCCAGGTGTTCTGGATTGTAACTCCCATCAACCCATGGCCAGTGATGATGAATGAGAAGTTACCTACCCCAAGTCTTTGTTGAATCAAGCTGTAAACAGGCTGTGTTTATCCTGCTTTGTTACCCCTCTGTAGATGTTCTTCAGCTGCTAACACATGTTGGAGTAACTTATCTGTATATTTTGGAGCTATGCAATTGCTGTTTGGGTTTTCTGCAGGCTTTCTTCAAAGACAGGAAAGGACAGCTGCAATGTCCATGCCTGGTCTTTAGCAGTTTCATAAACACTATAAATAGGTTCTTCAATCTATGAAGCCCTTATGTACAGAATGTAGTTTTCATAATAAAATTTTTTTCTTCAAACTTATTCTCGCTTTTCTTTGGAAAACAAAAATTGACATGGCAGGTGGTAATTTTGGTTATTAACATGGCATATCTGTTAAAGTTACGTGCTTCTTTCTGTGCATGCGTGCGTTTGGGCGGCTAGGGTTCTTCATTATAGCAGAGAGCACTAGCCAGTTGTCTATGGTTATTAACATGGCATATCTGTTAAAGTTATGTGCTTTCTGTGCGTGCGTGTGTTTGGGCGGTTAGGGTTCTTCATGATAGCAGAGAGCACTAGCCAGTTGTCTATCCAAATAAAGATGTGCCTGGTGAGTTCATGTAAGAGGGAAGGTCTTGCAGTTGAAGGGGAGCCCTTGCGTCTGTCTTGAGTTTTTGCACTCTGTAGCAGTCCCTGATTAGGACAATTAAGCGCCCCACCCCACCCCCGCCGAGAAGACCCAGCACTAGAAACTAGCAACTGGAATGTAAGCAGCATTGAATTACTTTAATTTTCCAGTTCTTTTATTGATAACAGCACTGGGAAAAGTAAACAGTTTTACTGCTTCCCGGATTGCACATTCCTTACGTATGCAGCAGTTAAATCATACATTCTCTTCCTCAAAAACATTAGTAGGACTACCATTAAAGCATATACATCACTCCACTCTTAGAAATTCACGAGTACAGTTCGTGTTCCTACATTTGTGTTCACTCTTTAATATGCAAAATCACACTGCATGCAGGCGCTGTGGTGAGAAACCAGGTGCATAAAACAAGAGACTCATGCAATGAAATATTTGACTCTTCCAGAGACCATCACACACTTAAAAGCAAAGCAACACCAGCAAGAATCCACTTTGCTGGCTTTTCCTTTGTTTTTAAATGGAAGGTTGACACATAAGTGTCTCCCCTTAGTTTAGTTTTATATACTGGGCAATCATAGATATTTCTTGTTTCCTGCCTGTCGTTGGGGATGGCTCTCACAAAAATAACGGGCATTGGTTGCGTTGGTGCTTTCAGGCAAGCTTCAGCTATATGTCCCCCTTGAATATCCCAGCGAGCCCCTGTGAATAATTGGAAATCAAGATGGAGAATCAAATTGTAACATTTTCTCCTACCTTTAACAACACAGCTTCTTTTGCAAACATCTGCCGTGGTTAGTCATGTTAACAGTGACCAACTCTGATAGCTGGGTAAAGAACATTCCCATGGTCTCTCTTAAGCTAGACGTTTTATTCAATGGGTTAAATTTTTGCTAGATCTTATGGCTTGAATTTCCTTTCTGTATAGAGCAGTATACTAGGATAAACATGATTACTATTTAGCTAAAAAGACATTGCCAAAGACTGGATTACAAAGTAACATATGGAAGTACCTTTTATACCCTCCCTCCCCACCTTATAAGGAGTTCAAAGGAGACTTAAAAATTAAAATCCAAAGCGTTGGAGAGCAACATAAAAACTGAAATTCTCATATTGGTAACACATACATACCTTCCATATATAGCCCATGAATGTAGGCTCCTTCTCTGGCAGGCTGTGTGAACTCCTCTTTGTATTTCTTGGTCACATCTACGGTTATGTGCATCTTGTCTAAAGGCCATTCATTTTTACGGGCTAAATTTTGCACGACAGCTGAAAAATTAGTTGGAGATTCTTGGAGTTAAAAAGGGAAGAGGGCAGACACGGGAGAACCTCCACAAGCCAAGCCAATGAAGCACTAAGTGAACCCATGCTCCAGTTTAGAGTAAGGCAACCATTCAAGAGAACCAGATGTCATTCCCAATATAATGGTGTAAAAAGGTTTCAAAATTAATAGCAAGTATGAACAGCATTAAAAAAACATAGACTTGAATGTGCTGTCACAGACTCTTGTGGGGTGGAAAGGGAGGGGATTAAAGTTGTGGGGAAAGTTCCCTGTGGTCAAAGATGGCAGCAGTGTGCTCCTTGCACGTGAGTACTAGGTGGAGGTGAAAGAACACACACATAAAACGACATACGCAAAATCATGATGGGAATCTGCCTGATGCAGATTAAGTTCAGTAAGAATTTCTATATGCAAGAGTTTGTTTCTGAAAGGCTGTCACTGGTACAATCTCACAAGGGCTGTATCACTGAGGCTGGAGCCCCATTTCCGACGCCAGCTGCAACAGGAGAAGGTCAAGCTAAGACCACCCAAAGCATACATAGTTGATGAAGTTAAGTGCTCTGCTACCTGCGTGGATTTGGGCAAGCTGCACCTGAACACCACCAAAATGAGGGTTTGGTAAACTACTTCGGAGTACTGTACACGATACCTAGAAAACTCTGGGAGAGTTGCTGTAAATTAGTCATGACAGCATGTAGTTAAATCTGAAATTGATATTTAGGTCTTGACTCTCTAAAACACCTGTGTTTTCCCGCAATGGGTGGAGTTTCATACTGTAAATCCTGAGCTGAAATTCCCAGAAGGCAGACAAATTTGGGGAATGCCACCACACCCAAGCTAGGACAATATGTTGAGCGTCATTTGCCCTGAACATTGGGCTCTAGATTTACAAGCCGACACTCCTGTGTCCCCTTCAGAGGTGAATCTCAGCTTCTCCAACACTCCTAATCAGGGATGCTGTCAATCCAAACTACAGTGAAACACATGATGAATGTGGGTTTGCTTTAAAAGAAGAAGAAAAGGAAGGCCAGCCCAGCCCCAAACCCAGCTTTTCAAGAGGGGTGGAGAACCTTCAATCTTTCATTTGTCTAGGACTTCCAGCTCCCACAAATATGGGTCAGCATTGGGGATGGGAGTTGTAACCCAAAGCAGCTCCAAGACCCAAGCTGTCTACCCAACAGAGCTACAGTACAGTGGGGTCTTGACTTGAGAACTTAATCCGTATTGGAAGGCGGTTCTCAAGTCAAAAAGTTCTCAGGTCAAATCTGCATTTCCCATAGGAATGCATTGAGAACCATTTGATCCGTATCTGCTCTTTTCCATCCATAGAAACTAATGGGAAGCTGCTATTCCGCCTTCGACCACTAGAGGGAGATATTTTGTTTCTTTTTTTCTTAGGTCAAGAAAGGTTCAGGGAAGGCAGGGAAAATACAGTACCAGGCAGTCCGAAGACTGTCTCCCAATCCACTCTCTAAACGCTGGGAGGAGTGAGGAAGCAGATAGGCACCCTTTTCACTGGCCAACAGTTAACTGAAAGTTCACATTTTGCACTTTCCCTGCCTCCCACGTGGTTTTTTTTCAGTTCTTAACTCAAATCTAAGTATGTAAGTCAAGTCAATATTTTCCTATGAGAGTGGTTCTTAACTCGAGCCGTTCTTAAGTCAAGACCCCACTGTATATGAAAAATGATTCTGATAAGAGAGGGAAGTCTCAAAAAAATCTGTGTCATGGCATGCTACTGTACAAATCTCAAGAAGTTATTTTTTTTTAAAAATTGCAGTTCTAGTTCAAGGCCCTGGAAAGCTCTTTGGATTTGAGCCTGTCAAATAATCAGCACACACACTAAGAATCTCTCTCCTTACCCCTGCATTTTAGCTATTGTATTTACAAAGAGTAATTATTGAGCCTTTTTTGGTGTGTGTGCAATTTCTATCCCTTTTATTTCTCTGTCAGCCCCACGTCCCTTGCCAATTGACTCTTCACATTCATATATTATGGACGGGCCCTATGATACAAATGTCGTAAATTCTTCACAAAATATATATTTCTAAAAAAAAAACAATAGTCAGAGAGATACTGTGTATTGAGGAAAATAATTGTTTATGGCACACAGCTTAAGCTGCGCTGGTAATCACGTTGAAAATACAATATTTATTCATTAGATCAAATTTAATGAAGCCTTCTGGCAGTAATTATAAAAATTACTGTAGCAGTAAATTACTAATGAGTTGTGTGATGTGCTTCCTACCTGTGAGGAAGGACTGGGGGTTGAAAAAACCTGATATCCAGACTACACTGGGGAGGGTGAGATCCTGTGCCCAGGAATCAAGTTCACGGCAGTGCTGGAGGAGATCGTTGTACCTTGGCAATATTGTGGAAAGAAAAAGGCAGAGAAATTAGGGGGCTTCATATGGTCTTTTCCATCGTTGGTATTGACGTCCATAAGCATACTGGAGCACAAATATATTTGCAGCATATGTTGGTAATAGGGCCTGTTTTGTGGATTCCAGCATCTGAGTCAAAGTGATGGATTAGTTTACTTCTCTTTCCCATAATTAGGTGACATGGGTTGTTGTGTGAGAGAAGGAACTCTCATTAGCATGTCACCAGCTGGCTGCTCCTGCAAAGGCAAATGGTTACTGTTCTACAGTGCTGTTTGGTGCTTCAGTTTGCACCCTTTGTTCTAGCTTGGCGTTCCTGTTTAGTCCTCACCAAGAGGAAAAGCACAAGCTAAAGTCACACTCTGGGCTCTTGTGGGAATGTCCCCGAGTTTTCTTGTAGTAGACTGTGTACGCTGCTGAAGAAGCCAACTGCTCTGGACAAGAAGACCAGAATTCTAGCAACAAAATTTCCTGACCCTTGTAATATGAAAAATAGTTTTAAAGCAGAGACGGGCACGAACTGGTTCGTCCTGGTTCGTCCCAGTTTGTAAAGGTGGCAGCACAGGTGCTGTTGGTGCTGCCCTTCCCCATCTCTTCTGGCTGAACCAGCCCCTCACCAGGCCCAGCATGCTTGTTTTTTCCCCACCCCTCAACTGATCTTCCAGTCTCAGCAACAGTTCAGGCTTCTCTGCCCCTCCCTTCATGGCTGATCTCCCACTCAGGCAATAGGGCAGGGCAGAGAAGTCTTTGTGCTCTTGCTGCTGACTCGGAAATGAGCTGAGGAGGTGGGAAAAGCAGGCAAACTGGGCCTGGTGAGTGGCTAGATTGGCTGAAGAGGTGGGGGAGGGGACCAGCAGTACCTGTGCAGCCTCCTTGACAAACTGGGACAAACTGGGATGAACCAGTTCATGGCCATCTCTATTTAAAAGTCCAATTTCAAAAATAAAATATACTGGAACAAAGGAGCTGGCTAAGAGGGAAAACTCCCCCCCAAACGGGGTGGAATGGGGTGGGGTAGGGGACAATATTGGCCTAACGTGTTTTGCCCACATATTGAGAATCGCCTGACAGGCCTGTGCATGAAAGGAGGCAAAGGCCACTTCTTGTCCATCGGATGTTGCTGGAGCACAGTTCCCACTGTCCCTCATCAGTGGCTATGCTGATTAGGCTTGATGGGACCTGCAGTTCCAGAGAGCCACAAGCTGCCCAACCCTGTGCTAAAGATCACGAAGGACAATGCAAAATGGCTTCTCACAAGATGGTTTGCTTGACAATAACATTCTATAAGAGCCATAGAACAACACATCACATAAAAGTATAAGAATCTGTCATAAAAGTAGCAGTAGTTAAAAATCTTTGTCGCGTTATCTTACTCACAAACTAGGACAACCAGGCCATTAAGACCTGCTTAAAACCAATTGAAGAGAGAGCCAAAGGTAACTCACACAGAAGGAAGCTCAACAGGGATGGGACCATCACCACCATTGAAAAGGCCCTGCTTTTTGTACCCGCGACCCTAAGAATGGCCTAGTTTCAACAGCTAGATATAAAACAAAAGAAATGTCCCCTTCTCTTTCCTCTCCAAATACTTAAGATCAGCATATATATATATTGGAGAATTTGGCTATTTTTTTTAAATAGTTAGCAGAGTGTCAGGTACAAAGAACTGCACAGAGAAAACATAAAAGATTAGCTTGTCTTAGTAGCCTACCCCCTTTCACAGTGACTGGCACTTCTGGAAGCATTTTCAGTGGGGAAAAAGTATATTTACTTACAGTTGCTGACTATAGTTGCAGTCAGCAGAAAAACAGGAAAATGGAGTCTCCACATGTGGGATATCTCTCTCCATGCTTCCTGCAGGCTCAGAAAGACAGACAGACAGACAGACAGACAGACAGACAGACAGACAGACAGACAGACAGACACTAACAAACAAAGGGAGCAAAGTCAACAAACAAAAACATGGAAGAGGCAAGCCAGAAGCGGGGAAAAAGAATCTTATCAATATGTTAGTGGGAAAGGAGAGAATGCTTTTAGGTCCTAAAGCTCCCTCCCCTTCCACCAATACCCAGTGTGAGAAAGCATGAAAGACTGTTATGATCTCAACACTGTATCAATTGTATTCCATCCAAATATGTTCTCTAACAAATCTTTCCATGATGTTGACATGTTGTTACATCAGATACTGAAGCGTAACAGACATGGGCACATCATTATCTGTAAGCTTTTGTTTGCTACCATCATTTTAGAGAATTAGGGAACTGGATACAGAATTACTGTATACTTTTCCCAACAGAAAAAATATCAGCTGCTAAGAACATGTTCAGCCACTTCCTCAAATAGGTCAAAGCTGGGTAGCATTTTCTAACAATTGTTGTACAACCACCACCACCCATAGCTTTGTAGCAAAAACAACAGGGGCTGGTGTCCCCGGCCTCAGAACAAGTGGGCAACATCTATGAAGGTAAGGTAAAGGTAAAGGTTCCACTTGACAATTTTTGTCCAGTCGTGTCCAACTCTAGGGGAGCGGTGCTCATCCCCGTTTCCAAGCCATAGAGCCAGCGTTTTGTCCGAAGACAATCTTCCGTGGTCACATGGACAGCGCGATACAGAATTACTGTATACTTTTCCCAACAGAAAGAATATCAGCTGCTAAGAACATGTTCAGCCACTTCCTCAAATAGGTCAAAGCTAGGTAGCATTTTCTAAGAATTGTTGTACCACCACCACCACCCATAGCTTTGCAGCAAAAACAACAGGGTCTGGTGTCCCCGGCCTCTGAATAAGTGGGCAACATCTATGAAAGCTCGTGCTAAATAAAACTTGCTAGCTTTAAAGTTCCCACAAGTTACTTTGCTGTTTTTCCTGCAGCACAGGCTTCTGCGGTTTAGCCCACAGCGCCACCACGTAGCTCGTGCTAAATAAAACTTGCTCGCTTTAAAGTTCCCACAAGTTACTTTGCTGTTTTTGTTGTTTCTCATTTTATCTACGCAGTTATAAGCTATTAATAATTACGGCACAGGGTTCTTGGCTTATTGATAATCAGGTCCAAGGAGTGTGAGAAAAACATTATTCAGGCATCTTTTAAAGATAGTATGGATGTTTTTCTTTAGCATTATAGCGAATACTGTGTGTCCTTAAAAAAAACAACAACCTTGAGCATTCATTATGTAGACATCTCAGTTCTGTGTGAGACTTGCACCTTAGAAGAACAGCGGGGCTGCAACCCAATACTTTTACCTAAGAGTAGGCACCATTGAACTCAATGGGACTGACTTCTAAGTAAGACAGAGACAGATTTGTATGGAGAGTATCAGTTCCTTGGGGAAAAGCAAAACATATTTCAGTACCTGACAGCAGCAGCTGGGAATTACAGATCAGAATCAAATCAAGTACGGAAGAGTCTTCTTCATTTACCCTCCCTTTGAAACACATCCATTTCATGTAGGTGGGCAAGCCTCTAATATATGATTTGAACATATTTATAAAGGATTAACCTGTGCATGGTATTTCTGGAAATTGATTTAGTTAAAACATACAGTTTATTCCACTTTTCTCCACTTCGCACATCTTTTCTATTTAATGATGACATCCGTCATTTTATCTGTGAGATAATGTACCTTACGTTATCGGTATTCTGTCTGTGACCTGTGGTTTTTCAGGCCAATACTTTTCAGCAGATTACACGCTTCACGTGCAAGAATATCTGCCTACACTGGAAGCATTCATAAATGGTTTGACCTCCCTCCACGGCTAAGCTAATACAGTATCTACGTATCTATTCTACTCAAGCAGTAGCTTTCCTTTTGGTTTGGAAGGGAGCATCTCATGAGCATCTTACGCAGTGCGTTGTGGATTCCAGAAGGAAAGATGTTGACCAACAGCGACAGTTTCAACTTGGGGCCCATTCCTTCTAACAGTGGTTCAAAGCTTCCTGGGAAAAAGTGAAGGTAAGTCAAAATGGTACTGTTGTAAGTCAGAATGGTACTGTTTATGCTCAGTGGGAGGGGACTGACCAAGAGCACCAGTGTAACCTCAACAGCATGGAATGGTGCATCCATGAGAGGGAACCAAAGGGAGAGGAAGATAAAGGGAGTGCATGGAAATGGAGAAGGAGACACGTAGATATATGTAGACGGGAGAGAATGTGTTAGCTTGAGGCTTGTTTGTTAATATGAGGCTTCTCTGTTGATATATAGGTGTTCAGTTAGAACTATCTGCTGCTAAGTGTCTGCTGTTACTATGTTAATGAAGAAGCTGCTATGAAACTGTTATAAGTCTGACAACCCAAATCTATATCAAGTCAGATGTTCAATTACTTTTAGTTTATTCTTCAACATGTTTTTAGTAAACATTCTTAGTTTGCTATGACTATATGATTATTCCTTTGTCTACCGACACACACACTTCTATCAGTATTCCTGACCTATGTAGGCTTTTTATACACACACTTGATTTGCTCTGTGTAAGCTCCTCAACCACGAACGAATCATTTCATTTTCTGGATAAGCCTTTTCTTTGTTCTCACTTAGAAGGAACAAGCACTGCCATTGGGTTCAGTGGAGAAATCACTGGTATCAAGTCGCATGGATGTCCCATGCTCTACTGCTTTCAGAGAAGGAAAAAACCCCAAGTGCAGCCATGTCCCTCTCCGCTCCTCCACGCATGTGGCAACAAAAGTATGGGATGCGACTGGCTGCTCAGGTAGCCACTCTGTTGTGCAGCACTAGAGGGAGAGGCTCTCATTTCATCTGGTCATAGAAGAAGATACAATATCTCTTACACCAAAGGAGGCGGCGGAGGAGGAGGCAGTAGTAGAGAAGGTATCTCCATGTCACTTGCTATAGGATCAAGAAGAGAGTGAGGTAGTGAGAGTCATGCCATTCCAGTGGCAGCTCTCCTACACATCCCCCTAAGAAGAGGTGGTGGTGGTGATGGTGGATCAAAGCATTCTTGAAATAACCTGTCTTGGAAAGCCAC